TAACGACTCATGGTGTAATTGTAGTAACATACAGGAACTCAAGTCCTTTTGTTCACCCGACCTAGAATACCTCACAATCAAATGCCGACCGTATTATCTCCCAAGAGAATTTTCTTCGGTTATAGTCACGGCCGTGTACATCCCCCCTCAAGCCGATACCACGACGGCCCTCAAAGAACTTCACTGGACTTTATGCAAACTGGAAACCACATATCCTGAGGCTGCATTTATTGTAGCCGGGGATTTAAAACAAAGCAAATTTGAGGACTAGGCTGCCGAAGTTCTATCAACATATCGACTGTTGTACTCGCGCTGCTAAAATCCTCAACCATTGCTATTCGAACTTCCGGGAGGGTTATAAGGCCCTCCCCCGCCCTCCTTTCGGCAAACCTGACCACGACTCCATTTTGCTCCTCCCTTCCTATAGGCAGAAACTCAAACAGGAAATACCCGTGCTAAGGACTATTCAACGCTGATCTGACCAATCGGAATCCACGCTTCAAGATTGTTTTGATCACGCGGACTGGGATATGTTCCGGGTAGCTTGCGAAAATAATCTAGACGAATACACTGAAACGGTGACTGAGTTTATCAGGAAGTGTATAGGTGATGTTGTGCCCACTGTGACTATTAAAACCTACCCTAACCAGAAACCGTGGATAGATGACAGCATTCGCGCAAAACTGAAAGCGCGAACCACCGCATTTAACCATGTCAAGGTGACTGGGAATATGGCAGAATACAAACAGTGTAGCTACTCACTCCGCAAGGCAATTCAACTGGAAAAACATCAGTATAGAGACAAAGTGGAGTCGCAATTCAACGGCTCAGACACGAGACGTATGTGGCAGGGTCTACAGACAATCACGGACTACAAAAGGAAAACCAGCCACGTCGCCGACACCGACGTCTCGGTTCCAGACAAGCTAAACACCTTCTTCGCCCGCTTTGAGGATAATACAGTGCTACCGAATAGGCCCACTACCAAGGACTGTGGCCTCTCCTTCTCCGTGGCCGACGTGATTAAGACATTTAAGCATGTTAACCCTCGCAAGGCTGCCGGCCCAGACGGCATCCCTAGCCGCGTCCTCAGAGCATGCGCAGACCAGCTGGCTGGTGTGTTTACGGACATATTCAATCTCTCCCTTTCCCAGTCTGCTGTTCCCACATGCTTCAAGATGGCCACCATTGTTCCTGTACCCAAAAAATCAAAGGTAACTGAACTAAATGACTATCGCCCCGTAGCACTCACCTCTGTCATCATGAAGTGCTTTGAGAGACTAGTCAAGGATCATATCACCTCTACCTTACCTGTCACCCTAGACCCACTTCAATTTGCTTTCCGCTCCAATAGATCCACAGACGATGCAAGCGCAATCACACTGCCCTATCCCATCTGGACAAGAGAAATACCTATGTAAGAATGCTGCTCATTGACTATAGCTCAGCATTCAACACCATAGTACCCTCCAAGCTCATCATTAAGCTCGAGGCCCTGGGTCTGAACCCCGCCCTGTGCAACTGGGTCCTGGACTTCCTGACGGGCCGCCCCCAGGTGGTGAAGGATCCTCAACACTGGGGCCCCACAAGGATGCATGCTCAGCCCCCACCTGTACTCCCTGTTCACCCATGACTGTGTGGCCAAGCACGCCTCCAACTCAATCATCAAGTTTGCAGACGACACAACAGTAGTAGGCTTGATTACCAACAATGACGAAACCGCAGTGGAGAAGGTGGAAAGCTTCATGTTCCTTGGCGTACACATCACCAACAAACTGAAATGGTCCACCTACGCAGACAGTGTGGTGAAGAAGGCGCAACAGAGCATCTTCAACCTCAGGAGCCTGAAGAAATTCGACTTGGCACCTAAAACCCTCACAAACTTTTACAGATGCACAATTGAGAGCATCCTGTTGGGCTGTATCACTGCCTGGTACAGCAACTGCACCGCCCGCAACCGCAGGGCTCTCCAGAGGGTGGTGCGGTCTGCCGAACACATTACCGGGGGCAAACTACCCACCCTCCAAGACACATACATCACCCGATGTCACAGGAAGGCCAAAAAGATCATCAAGGACATCAACCACCCGAGCCACTGCCTGTTCACCCCGCTATCATCTAGAAGGCGAGGTCTGTACAGGTGCATCAAAGCTGGAACCGAGAGAATGAAAAACTGCTTCTATCTCAAGGCCATCAGACTGTTAAATAGCCATCACTAGCACATTAGAGGCTGCTGCTGCCTATTGAAATCACTGGCCACTTTAAGAAATGGAACACTAGTCACTTTAATAATGTTTACATATCTTGTCCTACTCATCTCATATGTATATACTATTCTATAATATTCTACTGTATCTTAGTCCATGCCGCTCTGTCATTGCTTTTCCATTACATTTTTTTACATTTTTTTAGCAGACGCTCTTATCCAGAGCGACTTACAGGAGCAATTAGGGTTAAGTGCCTTGCTCAAGGGCACATCGACAGATTTTTCACCTAGTCGGCTCGGGGATTAGAACCAGCAACCTTTCGGTTACTGGCACAATGCTCTTAACCACTAAGCTACCTATATATATTCTTAAATTACATTCCTTACTAGTTTTGTGTGTATTGGGTATATGTTGTGAAATTGTTAGATATTACTTGTTAGATATTACTGCACTGTCGGAGCTAGAAGCACAAGCATTTCGCTACACCCGCTATAACATCTGCTAAACACGTGTATGTGACAAATAACATTTGATTTGATTTGATTTATATTAACAGTATTGCACTTTTCATGTAGCCTACTCTTGGCCAGCTAATAGCCTAAGCACTGATCAAGCAACATTATTGACAAACGTTCAAGTCCTGTTGCTGCAGGATTATTTTGCTGTGACAATATAGGTCAAATTAAGATCTCCAGCTTCAAATTCACCATCTTCATTACCGCAAATGTCTTCTCATATAATTTTGTTGCCATGCAACAGCTCAATATGACTCTATCGTTATGGTGACAAATCAGTGTGGGGTCTAGGTAAAGGGGTGACAAAAAAATATATACATGTATTCAGAGAAAATCCCTAGTATTGGCTTTACATTTCTAAACACAGTGCACAGCATGTCCTTAATTCAGTTCATACATAGTAATTGAGTAAGAGAAGCAGGCTACTTTAAAATGTTTACTTGAAATATGTCCTGTTTTACAGTAATGGCCTGAGTTAATAAAAAACTAAAACAGTCTATTGTGCTGCCGTGTGAAAATGGGTTACATTAAACCCCGATTCATCTGGCCACATCAGGGGGAAATGAATAAGTGCATGCACTAGTCAGTACATCTGAAGTTGGAGAGTTTGAAGTTTGATGAGGAGTCTGGAGATGACTATCAAACCCTCTCCCAGGCAGAGTGAGTCATTCCACTGCACACCCACTGTACTGGCACTCCCTCTATCACCATTAATGCTTCAAGTGTGTGTAACAGGAGAGAGTAAGAGGCAACATCAACACCAGTATGTCAACAGGTTTATTCTTCAATAACATCAATTTACAGAATGTGGATTGGCTACAACCATCAACTGTTCTGATATAGTTCATAGTTCAAGAAGTAGAGTGTATTGAGTTCAATTCACTTAAAGTAATAATTTAAGTTGATTAACATTTATAGCTAAGTTATGAGATGGTGATTTTTGGTTGGGTGCTTATGCTCTGTACACTCTGTAAATGTGTGTGTGTGTGTGTGTGTGTGTGTGTGTGTGTGTGTGTGTGTGTGTGTCTACCTCAGACAACATGACTACTGGATGCCATCTTTCCGTGAGCAACGTCTTTAGATCTCTAATGATTAGCGATTAGCATACTATTGAGTAATGACTTCAAAGTAGTAGACCATGTTGGGAGGAAGAGAGACACTCTATTAAATAATATCACATAGAACCACACTGGCTCTCAGGAGCAGATTGAGGAATGTCTGGACATTATCTGATATGAATCATACCACACATCATATGCAGATCTATGTGAGATAATTACAGTGAAATGTCCATGGATTTAAAACTGTATCTCTATTTGAACTAAGAGTCCTCCCAATTAGCCTCTACTATCTTTTAATTCAATCCTTGGAGACGTTATCAGCCATTAGAAAAAGACCCACAGATAGACAGATCAAAGACTTGGCATTTCAGCTCCAATTCCTTTTACAGTGGCCGCAATTAAGGGGAATTAACATAAATGCGTTTACATATAAGTCAATTACCAGGTACATAGAAATGTAATGTTGGTAGGATCTGATAAGTACAAAATGAGTAATGACGGCTTTGTATAAACACATCAGAATGATTTTTTTTTGTGCAAAATGAATAGTTACACTCCAATTGCAAGTAAATATGCCAATATACTAAACAAAAAAACAAAAACAGAAAGCAAACACAACAGAAAAAGAAAGGGCTACAATTCTGTCTCATCCCATTCACACATGACTGATGTAGAGCAACCTAGGCTACTTTTATGAACTCTACTTACATCGAGGTAGCTTTCATGGCACTTTTACCAGGTGGTGAAAATAATTAAATCAATAAAATTAAAAAAATCTGCAAAAGAAGTTCACTTGTAAACATATTTTCCTTCCATTCTAGACATTTGAGTGACAGTTTATACAATACTGTAAGTCATTTTTCTGCTACGTCAAGATTCATAACCATATAAGTTAGCAGACAATTGAAAATAGATCAATATACATAACCAATACAAATCAACAGAGAAGAGCTGCTAGTATATCCCACCCTTACCTCCACTGTTTCCTCTCTGACCAGCAACAGCCCTATAGCCACTGCCTGTTCCACATGTAAAGCTCTCAGTCTTTAAACAAATGGACTGGTTTACATGGTATCCATTTGATTGTATGACATTCATTACAGTTGAATAGGACAGAAAATACATTGACACCGCGATTCTCCAGGACTCGATTCTCTCTTGACTGTTGACCTATTGAACTCTTTCAACACTGGTTTATTAGAGCGTTGGTCCAATCAGACCCAGGCACGGACATCGCCTCCCCAGTCCAAGCACCTCCCACGGTACCATGCGCCTGTTATTGGCTGAAACAGCAGCAGGAGTCGCAGCCTCCGGAGCAGCCCACAGAAGATGGCCGCCGCCACCACCACCAGCGGTGACATCATCACGAAGCCCAGGATGATGAGGGCGGAGCAGCTGTTATCGTCGAGGTAACGGCAGATAGGAGAGGGGGAATCTAGGACCTGCGGGGGTAGAACGTAGACTAATGTTACGTCCAGACAGAAACACACTCCAGTGATAGGGACAATTCTATTGATGCAGTACGTGTTTCTGAGTTGTTTTTGTTAGTGAAGCAAATATTTGTACTTTAGTTTAACTGAACAGAACTGAGGGGGAGGGAGAGGTGTGTGTGTGTGTGTGTGTGTGTGTGTGTGTGTGTGTGTGTGTGTGTGTGTGTGTGTGTGTGTGTGTGTGTGTGTGTACACGGGAGGGACCATAAGACGGAAGGTACTGGGGTGTGTGACAGACTCTTTCCCAGTTTCCCTCCACTGTTCACTGTTCAGATAAGAAGCAGCCCAGAGCTGCCAATACAATCCCTAGGCTGTCAATCACCTGTGAGCGCCACAGAAATGGAGAGGGAGAGAGATAGAGAGAGAGAGGGTGAGAGAGAGCGGGAGGGAGAGAGATAGAGAGAGGGAGAGAGATAGAGAGAGGGACGGTGAGAGAGAGAGGGAGGAAGATGGAGAGAGAAACTGGAATGAGACGAGAGAGACAGTCAGAGAGACAGATAGAAATAAGGGTGGAGCCCCTGCTCTGCTTTCTAAACTTGATTAAAAACCTGTGAGCAATGCTAATCGGTGACATACATTACATGACCAAAAATATGTGGAGACCTGCTCATCGAACATCTCATTCCAAAATCATGGCCATTAATATGGAGTTGGTCCCCCCTTTGCTGCTATAACAGCCTCCACTCTTCTGTGAAAGCTTTCCACTAGATGTTGGAACATTACTGCGAGAACTTAAGATTTCCCTTCACTGGAACTAAGGGGCCTAGCCCGAACTATGAAAACAGCCTGACCATTATTCCTCCTCCACCAAACTTTACAGTTGGCACTATGTATTGGGGAAGGTAGCGTTCTCCTGGCGTCCGCCAAACCCAGATTTGTCCGTCAGACTGCTAAAGTGGTGAAGCATGATTCATCACTCCAGAGAACGCGTTTCCACTGCTCCAGAGTCCAATGGTGGTGAGCTTTACACCACTCCAGCCGACGCTTGGCATTGTGCATGGTGATCTTAGGCTTGTGTGCGGCTGCTCGGCCATTGAAACCTATTTCATGAAGCTCCTGAAGAACAGGTCTTGTGCTGACGTTGCTTCCAGAAGCAGTTTGGAACTCGGTAGTGAGTGTTGCAACCGAGGAAAGACGATTTTTACACACTACGCGCTTCAGCACTCGGTGGTCCCAATCTTTCTGTGAAGGTGGCATCCTATGATGGTGCCACGTTGAAAGTCACTGAGCTCTTCAGTAAGGCCATTCTACTGCCAATATTTGTCTATGTAAATTGTATGGCTGTGCGCTCGATTTTATACACCTGTCAGCAACGGGTGTGGCTGAAATAGCCAAATCCACTAATTTGAAGGGGTGTCCACATACTTTTGTATACATAGTGTACTAAACTCAGCAAAAAAAGAAAGTCCCTTTTTCAGGACCCTGTTCAAAGATAATTCATAAAAATCTAAATAACTTCACAGATCTTCATTGTAAAGGGTTTAAACACTGTTTCCCATGCTTGTTCAATGAGCCATAAACAGTTAATGAACATGCACCCGTGGAACTGTCGTTAAGACAGTAACAGCTTACAGAAGGTAGGCAATTAAGGTCACAGTTATGAAAACGTAGGACACTAAAGAGGCCTTTCTACTGACTAAAACACCTAAAGAAAGATGCCCAGGGTCCCTGCTCATCTGTGTGAATGTGCCTTAGGCATGCTGCAAGGCGGCATGAGGACTGCAGATGTGGCCAGGGCAATAAATTGCAATGTCCGTACTGTGAGATGCCTAAGACAGCGCTACAGGGAGACAGGATGGACAGCTGATCGTCCTCGCAGTGGCAGACCACGTGTAACAACACCTGCACAGGATCGGTCCATCCAAACATCACATCTGCGGGACAGGTACAGGATGGCAACAACAACTGCCCGGGTTACACCAGGAACACACAATCCCTCCATCAGTGCTCAGACTGTCCACAATAGGCTGAGAGAGGCTGGACTGAGGGCTTGTAGGCCTGTTGTAAGGCAGGTCCTCACCAGACATCACCGGCAACAACGTCGCCTATGGGCACAAACCTACCGTCACTGGACCAGACAGGACTGGCAAAAAGTGCTCTTCACTGAGAAGTTGCGGTTATGTCTCACCAGGGGTGATGGTCGGATTCGCGTTTATCATTGAAGGAATGAGCGTTACACCGAGGCCTGTACTCTGGAGCGGGATCGATTTGGAGGTGGAGGGTCCGTCATGGTCTGGAGCAGTGTGTCACAGCATGATCGGACTGAGCTTGTTGTCACTGCAGGCAATCTCAACACTGTGCGTTGCAGGGAAGAAATCCTCCTCCCTCATGTGGTACCCTTCCTGCAGGCTCATCCTGACATGACCCTCCAGCATGACAATACCACCAGCCATACTGCTCGTTCTGTGCGTGATTTCCTGCAAGACAGGAATGTCAGTGTTCTGCCATGGCCAGCGAAGAGCCCAGATCTCAATCCCCTTGAGCACGTCTGGGACCTGTTGGATCGGAGGGTGAGGGCAAGGGCCATTACCCCCAGAAATGTCTGGGAACTTGCAGGTGCCTTGGTGGAAGAGTGGGGTAACATCTCACAGCAAGAACTGTGAGAGGAGGAGATGCACTGCAGTACTTAATGCAGCTGGTGGCCACACCAGATACTGACTGTTACTTTTGATTTTGACCCCCCCTTTGTTCAGGGACACATTTTTCAATTTCTGTTAGTCACATGTCTGTGGAACTTGTTCAGTTTATGTCTCAGTTGTTGAATCTTGTTATGTTCATACAAATATTTACACATGTTAAGTTTGCTGAAAATAAACGCAGTTGACAGAGGACGCAGAGGATGTTTCTTTTTTTGCTGAGTTAATATACAGACACTGTCAGCAAGAGGGAAGACAGAGAGATACAGATACACAGAGAGGGACAGACACAGACAGACAGACACGCACGTGCACACACAAAAATACTTACAGTACATACAAGTACACAAACACTCAAATACACTCAGTGTGTTCTCTTTAGGGCTACATTCTATAAGATCCCTCTGGCTGTCACGCCCTGGCTCTGGGGACTCTTATATGTTGAGCCAGGGTGTGGATTTTCTATGTTTTGTTTTCTATGTTTTTGGTTCTAGTTCGTTTTGATCTATGTTGGCCAGGGTGGTTCCCAATCAGAGGCAGCTGTAGTTCGTTGTCTCTGATTGGGGACCATACTTAGGTAGCCTGTTTTCACTAGTTTATTGTGGGATCTTGTTCCGAAAGGTTTGTGTTGTAACCTAGGACTTCACGTATCGTTTGTTTATTGTTTTGGTTCGTGTGTGTACTACAAATAAAGAATGTACGCTTATCACGTTGCGCCTTGGTCCGCTTCATCTGTCAACGAACGTGACACTGGCATAGAATTCTCTCATTGTCAGCATTTTCAAGAGGAATTTCCCCACCCACCTCGACTGAACGCTGCAACCTCGAGCCCATCATCAACTATAAATACAACAACACGCACACGCACGTGCACACACACACACATTTTCTCCACTTCACTCTTTCTGTCTTGTCAGCATAGTCCTGGGCCCAGCTGGGGACTAACTGCCACTAATTCAACAATCATGTCTTGTCATGGATATCCTCTCTCACTGTCCCATCCTTCACTTCTCCAACTGTTGATTGACATCCCCATCTCTGGCAGGCAGCAAGTGTCTATACTGGCACTTGTTGTATTATATATATAGTACTGTTCACAACATACTATTAGGCTACACATTACACATACCACTCACCTTCTGTGTAATGGTGCCTCCTCCCCAGCCATCACTAATGAAGACGTCTTGAAAATACCAGTGTCTTCAAAACACTTTTAAGACATTAAGAATCAATTGCTATTGATTTAATTAAAGGCAACTTTCCAAAGAAAGAGCAATCAGTGTGTTTGATCATACACAAACTTCTGCCAAATGTCAAAAAAGCTAGCAAATGGCAGTAAAAGGCAGACAAAATACAACAGAGACACATTTTACTGTAACATCAATAATGGAGACAAGCAAGGCCACCTGGCACGGCGCCAACTCTACCAGATGAGGAGCTGAAGAAATATGACCGCAGATCGCTGTCAGAAGGTGATTTGGGGGGTTTACTTTTCGCCAAGGGCAACAGCTGTAGATCTTAGAGGACACTTTGGCATCATTATGAGACTGATAGCGTTTACTGATGTGTCCGCGCCATGAATCTGGTCCTCATGACGTGTCTAAAGAGGACCACCTCAGATTGCACATCATAATCCTGTTTTAGACACAGTCCACCTGTTCTTAAAGGTGGTCTTAAAGTTTGTCAGACGTGTTAAAGAGATTGAACGGGATCTTAAGCACTTACAAATCCATAACATATTGTACGATTTGGAATTGATAACATATCATACGGATTACAGAATTGTTTTATGTATTTTTTTGCAGGACGTAACATATCATCCAAAATGGATGACGTAGTATACAATTATGCACAGTTTCCGGGTACCCGTTTTGGCTTGTGAGCACTACTTTCAAAACTACTGGCTGAAATTATACAAAAGCTTTATAAAGCATCTTTAAAGGAAAATACAGATTCCAGGAAAACTTTCCTGTAATGCAGGAAATGTAAAACTTGAAGTTTAATTGAGGTTTAAAAAGGCATCTGAAGTTTGTCATTTCCACTTTGAAATTTCAGACTTGATTTTCCCGTACGAAAAATGTATCAACCCCTAATAAAAAAGTCAATTAATTATAATCCACATAATAATTCACATTTCCTGTTGCTGCAGGATTATTTTCCTTTTGCATGCAAAATGCATCATACTCTGACACTTTCTGTATTTTGAATGTTCTATATCTTGAAAACTTGATTGCTGACATGTAAAACATTTTGGGATTGTATCAACAGTGGACTAATGAAACATACTAAAAGATAGTTTTTGTGTGGACTTTTCCATTGAGTCCTTAAAAGTGGTATTTTGCCAAGATGCATCCAGCAATATGCCTACCTTTCTCATTCATTTGGGATTGAGTAATATACTGTAGTATAATAGGCCAATTGTCACGATCGTGTGAAGGAGGAGACCAAAGCGCAGCGTGTTGAGTGAACATAGTATATTTATTAAATGCTCACACGAGCAAAACAAACAACGAAACCGTGACGTCTGTGGTACAACACGCACACACACGAACAAAATCCCACAACCCGAAAGGAAAACAGATAGATTAAATATGGCTCCCAATCAGAGACAAACAGCCGACAGCTGACACTCGTTTGCCTCTGATTGGGAGTCACACCGGCAAACATAGAAAATAAACCACCTAGAACACCCACCAGAGAAACCGAAAACATAGAATGAACACACCCTGGTTCAACATAATGAGTCCCCGAACCAGGGTGTGACACCAATGAAGTGATGTCAGCTTCTGGGGGATGTCTAAAGAAGGGTGAGGCTGACAGGGGTTGGCAGGGACGTCATATCTTACCCAGAAATGTAGGGGTGTCTGTCTGCCCCTGATCCAGGGTGTTCCCAGAGCCGGTGCTGAAGTCACACAGGGTTTGCCCCAGAGTTCTGTGCTTGCCCCCATACTCTTCATACTCTACATACTCCCACTTGGACAGATACTTGAACCTCAACATCCTGTCCCACCCTAAGGCTGTGTCTGTTTGCCTCTGGTCCAGGGTGTTCTCGATGTCGATGCCATGCACAACAAGAACTGAATCCTACCATGCGTTAGATACTTGGGCATGCCCGGTATACTTTTACTGTGTTGGGGTAGGGTGTAGCAGGAAGGAATCTTTCATGTAAACTCATGTTGAAACACCTTCAAACACCTTCATGTTGGAGCACGGCAGACAGTCATCCACTAGTGGGGTTCTTATTACGTAAAGGTTATTTTAGTTCCAAATGCAAATAAGCTGTTTAAAGGGTTGCCGTGGGTTACAGGGCTCAACCTCAGAGCCAATCAATGATCATGATTCTTGTGTGGTTCTGTGGCAGAGTGAGCCAGTGTAGAGCTCAGCATCAGGTCACATATTAACCAGGGGTGGGAGACTGGGAGCGGCTCTGATTTGACTGGAGACGCTCTGTGACCTCAATTCTGAGATGAAATCCTACCAAGCTACAGGAAATGGCTGTCAATTGGCTGGAATTCTAACCACAAGATTCTGATGTTTGTGTTAGAGACTTTGAGTGGCGCTATGAGCGGGCCACTACTTACCCGTGAGTGGCAGAGGAAGCCGGCGTAGAGCAGCAGTGAGGCGGGCAGCAAGACCAGGGCAAACACGGCCACCAGGACCAGGACACACACCAGGGCCACACCCACATTCCACAGCAGCAGCCCCACCCCACACGCCACACAGCCACACCTGCCCCGGCGGGTGCCCCACGCGCTGCCCTCACTGTGGGCCGTGGGAGGAGGCAGCATCTTCACCCTCTCACCCACCCAGAACTCCTGCTGCTCCTTCTCCTCGTCGCCTGAGCCCCCCTCGTCCAGGTCCACGTCCACCCCACACATCCTGATAGAGAGAGAGAGAGGGAGGGAGGGAGACAGTAGGAATAAATTGATACATTTAACCATGTAGTGTTATCAGCAGGAGAATGTCATTCTTCATGGATGTGGTATAATCCTATTTTCCTACAATCACTTGTTCTATATTTCCCAAAACGTTGATGCCTTTACCACTGGGATGTCATGGACCACCACACAACTTTGTGACTAAAGTGATGTTTGATGAACAGCTCTAAAACAGACTTTAACACAGAGAACAAATGTACTATGTATTTGGTTTAAAGCTGCCTGAGCTGTGATGATGAAATATGACTAATGCATGTAGCTGCATGGGGTGTTTCTCACTGTTTTTAGTCACACAAATGCAACTTTTCAGGTGATTTACCTATCAAGCTCATTTCCGAATAGGAACCTTGCTAGGCTGTGAGAATGTAAAATGCTGGAGGATGTTTGCTTGTGTAGATTGTCATAATTTGTGCCAGTGCCAGCCTCAAGGAGTGAAGCTATTTCAATAATTTAAGTCTGATAATAGCACACCGGACCTCATATGCAGACTATGAGTGGAGCAGCTGGCCTTTTCCACATTCCAATAGAGATCCAATCTCATTCATCTGTTAGATGTTTATCCTGTCATATAATTCCTTGATTTAACTCAACGCTCAGTTTTAATTGTCATGTAGATATTTTATCTACCAATAAAATGGGTTTCTAGGCCTTATGACTATTGAGGTATACAAAGAAATCCTGGAAAGGAAAGACTTCTTATTGATCCCTCGACCACCTTTTGCATCTATTACAGTAGGTGAAAGTCCACTTTGTCTCTCCGTCCAGAAATGTTTTAACTTCCTTGCCCTGTGTTAACCCAATGAGTCCCACCACGACACCGGCTCAATTTGGACTTCTAACCCTTTTTAAACATAATGTGTTTGAGTCTATTTATTCTGCATCTGTTGGTACCTACCATTAGTCTGTGTGATTAATGGGGGCTGAGCTAGTCGAGTCCGAATAGTTTGAGCTAAAACTATTAAAATATATCTGTGAAAAGCTGAGACTCTCACAAACACGCACATGTAACATGTTTTGCTCTATGATGCTCACAAGCTACACAGGTGTTGTTAGAAGGTAAGGGGTTATTCTACATAGAAGATCCAAGAAATCCAAGGACACAGTGTCTATAATACTGTAATAAGCTCACATAGTTACTGTCACAAACTCCAAACTCCACACAGTTGTCACTGACTAGTTGGATATTCATTTCCCACTGCGCAAACAATTTCTTTACTTACAGCATTCATATAAATTCATTTTCATCAGGTTTTTGATTTGGTGGACCTTATTTTATATTGACTTTTGTCAAATAAAACTCATGAATTCAACTGTTTATGTAAAATTGTGTTCTACTTGTAGCTGTGGTTGTCCTGAACAAGAAAATGGTGAAACACTTAATTGTGAGGCTAAATATAAGGGCTGGACATGCATATAAATGAAAGTCCAATAAATGAAAAGCCAATTGTTGCTGGGGTCTCGGGACTTATAGTGTTAACAGCTAACCTGATGTTTGCTTTTCTTGCAACTAACTCAGGTCAGGCATGCATATGAGGAAATACTTCCTTGTTTTGCAGTCTTAAATAATGAATATTGTAAGGGAGAGTTGAATGTATGTCAATGTATGCCCTAGAGAGAGAGAGAGAGAGAGAGAGAGAGAGAGAGAGAGAGAGAGAGAGAGAGAGAGAGAGAGAGAGAGAGAGAGAGAGAGAGAGAGAGAGAGAGAGAGAGAGAGAGAGAGAGAGAGAGAGAGAGAGAGAGAGCTGAAGGACACTTGAATGTTAATATTTCCAACCTTGTCCTTTCCTGCTCTTTTTCTATATCTGTTCATTTATGTGTGTGACTGTGAATGTATTTACCACTTCTTTATACCATCCTATTCCCGTATATAACTAACCATATAGGTCTAATTGCCGTATTGATGAGAGAGATGAGAACAACAAGGTATGTTGTTGTGCCACAATATAGACTCATATAAAATGTCCCAGTTACCCTTACCATCATGTCCATATACATTTAATGATATTGTGTCCAATAAAGGTATATCCTATCATTCTCTTTATCATCACCCCCACAGTCCTTCCACTTAGGCCTATCCCCACCCCATCCTGTCGCTTAGTGGAATCGATAACAGCGATTGATCCCGCCTTCACCTCCCCACCCCGCCAAGACTCTGATTGATCCGTCATTCTGAATTCAATCAGTGAGACACCTTCACCGACCGGGCGCCGAGAAGCAGCACCGCAGGACCCCGCAGGAAATATCACATCTTGTTGAACACAGCAATACATTCTAGCCATTCTCACTACTAAAAATAACTTTGAAAGCCAACACTGTCACAATACAACAATTATTTTCCTCCAATAAATGTATGTTTGTTTGGTGTTGATGTTTCTTGTCCTTCCGTTTAGCTTCATACAACATTTTTTTTCTTAAGATACAGTATTTCACAAAATACAACAATGAAAGCTAAATTGTATTCCAAATAGGCCTACATGGAATAAAATGACATTTGCACCTACCTCACTCTGTCTGTCACTATTTCTCAGAAGTCTCCTTTGCAATTGTTGGCCCCAGAAACAGGAGCAGGTGCTGCCAAACTCTAGAGGATGTCAGAATAAGGCGTTTGCTGAGAACAGTAAAACAAACAAAACAGCACCTTTTAGGATGCGCACCTATTGCCTTTTGCAAGACAGTAGCACAGCAATGCGCGCGTCCTATATGCGAGTGTATATAGATCTGAGCGGTGCGCGGAGGTTACTATGTGTGTGTGAGTGAGAGAGAGCGAGAGTCCACCTCAGCACAATCGGAAACGGCACTGTCCTCTTCAACATTAGTGACTTCACATGCACGCGGTGGAGTGAAAGTGAGATAACGGGGACGAGCAGAGCATACCAATAACACTATTAGCCTATTCACCCGTTTTAATGATGTCCCACTTCAGGTTCGTGCACAGACAGGGCTCTACCTGTGAAGAGCACATGCGGTCACCGGTCAAGTGTGTAGGGTCTGGTTGTCTGATAGAGAGGTAAATCACAATCACTAAAATAATTCGAGCTAGCTAACTAGAAGATTTACATCAATCATCAACATTTTCTCTTTGTCATTTAGCAGACGCTCTTATCCAGAGCGACTTACAGGAGCAATTAGGGTTAAGTGCCTTGCTCAAGGGCACATCGACAGATTTTTCACCTAGTCGGCTCGGGGATTAGAACCAGCGACCTTTCGGTTACTGGCACAACGCTCTTACCCACTAAGCTACCTGCCGCCCTAACATCAACGATCATCATGATAGCCCACCCTCTTTTCCCGATGTCAATCATGTATTTAGGAGGCACTGTATCTAGCTTCCTTTAATACTATTTGTGATGGTGAGTGAGTGTGTTGTTGCAGAAATAAATGTTAAAATTTTCGCTACAAAGGTATTTGGTAGGCTATGTTATGAATTTCGACATATGAATTATGAACGTTTTAAAAAATTAAGAAGGGGGTGCCCTTTTTTCATTTTGAGCACCTGCCCCTGAAAGGTCTGTGCATGGCCCTGTCCCACTTACATTCCCCTATTCTCTTTTATACCGAATGGACATTTCCAACCTTTACCTCACTTTGGAAGCTCATCTAACGTTTTTTCACTCTTAAAAAAAATAAACTTTTATCTAAGTTCACCAGCAGCATCATAGACTTCCTCTCATCTACTGCTCCCACAGTATCACTATGTTCATTATCTGGCTTTTTCGAATGATTAAAAGCTGTGGTAAAGGGGGATCATATTAGTTTAAACCCCTCAAAGATCAGAAGACCAAAGCCATGCAGGGGCAGCACAGCAGTCACCCATCTCTTGGCCATACGCTGACTGTAGGCAGGGGTTATGTAGGTGTACAGGCTCTATTACTGGTAACCTATAGAGGGGACATGGAGGTAGTGATTAATTATCTCTGTAGGCTATGACAGACAGACATGATGCGGTCCTACGCCCCCACACAACCCCTTCTAATGTTGCACTCTCACGCTAGCGGATGCAGTAGTCCCTCCCTCCCAAACAAACACACAGACACACACACGCAATCACTAAGCACATTCACTCCTCTTCTGTTGCTGTCTGTAGCACTGGTCCGGGCCCAGCTGGGGAGTAAACTGATGATGACATGGTTGACAATCCATGAATAGAAAGCTCTCCCTGGAGTATTTTCTCTCTCTCTCTCACCCTCCATTGATTGACCACTCTGTCATTGAGAGATAAGCGATTGATCAATTTGTTTTTTTACCAGAGACAGACAAGCAAGGCAAGCCTTACAATTTCACCTAAGCTGAAGTTAATCAGATGGAACAGAGAGGAGAAACAGATTAGGTAGAGAATGAGGTAGGAGGTAGAGGAGACAGGAGAAACAGATTAGAGGGAGAAGATAGTGAGGTTGGATGTAGAAGAAAGGATCAGGGGAGGAGAATGGGGGGATAATGAACATTTTAGAGTAAATTAATTTATCTTGCATCCTGTTTTAAAGAGAACCATGAGATTGTGCTTGGAATAGAGGGAAGGAGATTCCGAGAATGAAAAAAAGCTTGGTAAAAAGGGCCTTTTACCTGGAAAACCACCCTGGGTAGTCCTCTCCCACTGATACTCAGGTCAACTCTATGCAGTCACACTGACATCTGCTGGTTCATTTGGTAATGCTTGATCTTTATTGTTCATTACCTAATCATGTTTATTTGTCCAATGAAAGATTTGAACAATTTTAACTCAAAACCTGCGTGTTTACTCCTTTTCCTCTCAATGCAAAGCAGCTGTAAATTACTGGAACTTCACATCAGCCTGGATCTTTCTAGTGTAGCCTCTGTCTCTCCCTAACCCCACTGATCCCCTTCACTCCCTGTGTATTGAGCTCTATTGAGCAGAGAGTAATGGACTAGCTCAAGCTATCATTCAAGTGTCCTTCAGCGCTCTCTCTCTCTCTCTCTCTCTCTCTCTCTCTCTCTCTCTCTCTCTCTCTCTCTCTCTCTCTCTCTCTCTCTCTCTCTCTCTCTCTCTCTCTCTCTCTCTCTCTCTCTCTCTCAGAACTCCTCCTCCAGGCTTTTAGTCACTCTACCCAACTCTATCTACAACACCCGACTCTGGGTTGCCATGACATCTCATCAGAAGGATTTCTCTTTTAGTGGATTTATAGGTCAAAAGCACTTTGTGATGAAATGATCAGATGACAGTTAACCGTGATAATCCTGAGACCCAGAAAAAAAAGTTTGGGATTTTATTATTATTTTTTAACATAAAATAGGTGTTTGGGGTGCCCTCTGTAGTGGTCATTAGGATGTAAATATGAAAAAATTAACATTACCGTCAATGGGTACAGTAGGTAAAAAACATAGTTGCAGCATCTGGGTGTCCACTACAGAGGACATTTCTTGATAAGCTCTTATTTAGCTCTTATTTAATGTAAAAATTATTACACAGGCCTGAAAACTCACTTAACCATTCATGAGATATTCACTTACGAGAAACAATTTGAATATCAAACTCACAAAAATTATAATTAATAATTACACACACTTCTTTTCAAATTTCCATTAAATGTGCTAATTTTGAGGCAGCCATTTCTTTAAGAACCAGGAAGATAAAGTTGTCAAAGTCACACCCCCACACGTGTGATACCATTGAAAAGCCCAGACTGTCATCTCAAAGGGACAACAGGACTTAATACAGTGACTTGTATGGCTTCAGAGATATGGACCAAGAACTGATGTCCACTAGAAAGGACAAAAATGAATTGCTGAGTCTCAGGAGGACAGGGGTATAAAATACACATTGTCCATATGAACTTAAACACAGATAATTGAGCACTTAGCTGGTGGAGGAAAAGGAGAGTGGGAATTTACATTAATTTACATTACATTTGAAATTGTGAAAACAGATCATTGATACGTACAATAATGCCTTATTGTTGTGTGTGTGTGTGTGTGTGAGTGTGTGTGTGTGTGTGTGTGTTGGAGTTTTAATGCCTGACATTTAATGTTGGTTAAAATTTACATTTTACATTTTAGTCATTTAGCAGACGCTCTTATCCAGAGTGACTTTCAGTTAGTGAGTGCATACATTTTCATACTGGCCCCCCGTGGGAATTGAACCCACAACCCTGGCGTTGCAAACGCCATGCTCTACCAAATGAGCTACACAGGACAAAAAATGGGTGGAAAGTCCTCTGTGTGTTTGCTCTGTATGTTACTTATTAGTAATCCGTTTCTGTTTGAGAACAACATCCGTGTCCATGGTGACCGCTGCAGGCAGAGAGGAGTGAGGATGAAAATCTGGCCAATACACACAAATCTATAGTCCACAGTTAGGATCATAACACACACACAGCCTAAACCTCTGTACTTTAGTAAACATCAGAAACACTATTGTGTTAATTGCCTACATTTAGGCTAGATTAAAATGCTGTTGGTGAGATGAGAAGGACTATGGATTGAGAGGTAGCCAATGCAAAGAGTTGGAAAATGATGCAACTTGTTTTCATATCCTTACACTTCTGTATCCAAATGCTGCATTTGTCTATTTTTTTCTTCTGATTACAGGACTACTGAATTTACAGCACATGCATGCTGCTGCATCTCTAGCAAGATGCCCTCTGCAGTACCTTCTTTGCACCAGCAGAGAGCAGCATAAACATCTAAATGAACGTGGGCAGCTGACTAGTCCAAGATCACGTTCCCACCACATGATGACAATAACAGACAAAAAGGCCTTAAGTAAATCATTACAGATAGAACTTCATTGATAAGATTGAACAAAAATAGATTTATTCTCATAGGAGAAGCACTAATTGGAACATTTAACATTAGGTCAGATACTAATGCAAATTGGTTATAGACACAAATTAAGGCAAGAACCTTTGTAGGGTTTGAACTGTAGCTCTATGATTTTTAAATTATTTTTTTCAAGACAGATTTACAGATAAAAGACTACAGCTTCAAAAGTCTATAGTTGCGCGTCAGAGTGCATGCCTGGGTGTGCATATGTGTGTGTGTGTAGGATTGTTATATTCGTTGTCCTCCTAAGTGAGAAGTTAGATGACAAAAACAGTGTAGATAAGCTGGTGTCTTTGTATGTGTTCACTTATACTGTGGTTGTCTTGTGAAGAGTACAGCATGAGGGAGCTTGTGTGCATGTGCTTTTATAAGCAATTTTCATGTAAAGTGAAGTTTTACTTTCAAAGTGCTGTAACTGTGTGTAGAAGAAACAACTTGTGGAGAGGTTTGGGAGAAGAATCAAGAATGGAGAGAGAGGAAGTGTCAGTGGCGATCGAGCGACCTACCCTCCATCAGATGTGTGTGTGTGTGGCTCTGTGTGTGTGTGAGCATGCTGAGAGTGTGTGCCGCTGTGGTGGCTCTCTGGTAGGATAGGGGGGTCTTGGGCGCTCTCTGATGGGTAGAGCTGCATCAGTGCCCCCTCCTGGGCTCCCTCCTTACTGCAGGACTGGCAGCTGCAGTGGAGGATCCTCTCCACCAGCTTATCCACACGAGGAGCATCCTCACTGCCCGGGCACTCCAAAGTCACCTACACACATAACACATAATGCATTACACACATGCCACATTCACTTCACCCCCCCCCCCCCCCCCTCCCCCTTCTCCTACAGAGTCTTCCACACATGTCAGTCTCTGGCAGAGAGATTTAAGACAAAGCCTCTGCATCCATCTTCAAACAATGTACCCCGCTCTGAGTAATGTTGTGATTTCAGAAATTCAGTCAAGCTTGACACAGCTGCCAGACCAACAATAGGCTGGATCTGAAATCATTTGACAATGCACCATCATGGTTGGAAACGACAGAATATTAAAACTTGAGAAAACAATTAGCACACTTTTATGCTCAGAGGACTGTTTTTAGTCAAGCTATAAAAATCCACAAAAATGTAATCCAGCATGAAAGGCATACCATGACAGCAGGATTGTGTGGATCCAAAATAGTCATAATCATAGTCAAAATTCATTTATCAACAGCTGGACTGATAAGGCACATGAATCTGCTTCCATTTCCTTTTTCAATATTGTATACATCAATCAAGTTTTTTCTTGAGGCATGAAGTCACCTCACCTGTGGTCCCAAGCCCACTCCTATCCTACCTGTCTGGCTGCTCTTTAAACTACATACAGTATACCTCAACACAGGGCCTTTGTTGTTCCAGGGCTCTGGAATCCCTGGCTACTAGACAGGCAGGCCATTAAAGACAGAGGACATGAACAACCTTGAATTAATTAAATGCAGGACCAATTGTGGTTGTGGTCGTGTGTTTCGATAGGCTACTGGGGTTGTGTGGTTACGTGTACTAGGGTTTTGTGGAAATGTGTATATTGAAAGAGTAGTGTGTGTGTGTGTGTGTGTGTGTGTATGTGTGTGTATGTGTGTGTGTGCGTGCGTGCGTGCATGTGTAAACTTACCACCTCCCACTGTGTCTGTGCAGGCATGCAGGAGTCACAGTGCACAAGGGACTCAGTGGACTGGGGGAAGGTGTTGGGGACGCTGTAGCTGAAGCACTGCCCCAGACACGCCCTGGAATGATAGGGGAGAGAGGGAGGAAAGAGAAAGAGGGATGATGTCACCATTCAGCTTTGATACCTGTATATTTCATGGCTGATTTTATTCTGGAGGTGACCATTGCACACAGGGCCAGATTAATGCAGGGGCTTGGTCCCAGGCCTGTGGCGGGCCCAAGGGGCAGCAAATAATAATAATCAAATAAAGGAAATATATACAGTATATATTATATAAGTGATCGCTCAATTATTTTATTTTTTACTGCAACCGCCAACCACAGGAGGATTCAGGAGCCCGTTCTCAATGAGTGTAGACAGCCTGCTGCTGCTCTGCTAATCGTCAGAAGGGGGGAGGAGAGTAGGTAGGGGGCACACGTGGGTAACTGGGGGGCCCTGCCTTGATTGGGTAACTGCATAATAAATAAATGTGACTGGTCAATTGTGAGTCAGGAGCTCACACGTTATTTTTGTAATAATATTTTTTTTATCCAACCACAGGAGCCTGCTCTGAATGTTCAAGAGAGAGCATAATTTAGCCACAGGGGATCAATAGTCCCTAAAGAATAACTGTGGATTACATTTTATCACAAGCACATGCAGGTAACTGCCAAAATAAAGGAAACACCAACATAGTGTCTTAAAAGGGTGTTGGGCCACTACGAGCTGCCAGAACAGCTTCAATGTGCCTTGGCATAGATTCTACAAGTGGACCTAAACCATGCCAGGAAAATGCACCCCACACCATAACATACTATTTGTGTCCCTCATTTACTCAAGTGTTTCCTTTATTTTGGCAGTTACCGGTTGCCTACAGTCGGGAGGGCCACAATTTTGCCAGCATGAGCACCAAATATACAACTTGTTGCGTTGTGGACATAGACATATAATCCATAGAAGGGTTTTGGAACCTCTTACCCTGGCAATTTGACTATTATTCTCGTGGGTACACTAGCAATAGCAGCCAGACCTGCCATCTATGGATTATATTTCTATGGTTGGTTGCCTATTGTAAATTTCAAAATACAATCATGGGAAAAAACGTAAAGTTTGGAAAGTAAAGGGCTACTGCTGAAAAGAGAAGACTAATCTGTCTTTTTTTCTCTACAACTCCCAATTTTTTGCGGACAGCAGTAGGCCTACTGTTTTTCAAAGTAGCTCATCTTGAGATAGGCTATTGCTAAGACGAGCGTATCGGCCATCACCGTGAGTAGTAGCCTATGGCTTTAACATCATCATTAGTGAGTCCGTGTGCCACTGGGAATTATATTTAGTAGCCTATAGCCTATGATAAATAAATATATATTTACATAAGTATGTGGACACCACTTCAAACTAGTGGATTCGTAAGGCCACACCCGTTGCTGACAGGTGTATAAAATCGAGCACACAGCCATACAATCTCCATAGACAAACATTGGCAGTAGAATGGCCTTACTGAAGAGCTCAGTGACTTTCAACGTAGCACCGTCATAGGATGCCACCTTTCCAACAAGTCAGTTTGTCAAATTTCTGCCCTGCTAGAGCTGCCCCAGTCAACTTTAAGTGCTGTTATTGTGAGGTGGAAAAGTCTAGGAGCAACAACGGCTCAGCCGCGAAGTGGTAGGCAACACAAGCTCACAGAATGGGACTGCCGACTGCTGAAGCGCGTAATGCGTAAACATTGCCAGTCCTTGGTAGAAACACTCACTACCGAGTTCCAAACTGCCTCTGGAAGCAACATCAGCACAAGAACTGTTCGTCGGGAGCTTCATGAAATGGGTTTCCATGGCCGAGCAGCCACACACAAGCATAATATCACCATGCACAATACCAAGCGTTGGCTAGAGTGGTGTGAACCAATAATCTCCAATTTGGACTCCAGACCAAAGGACAAATTTCCACCAGTCTAATGTCCTTTGCTCGTGTTTCTTGGCCCAAGCAAGTCTCTTCTTCTTATTGGTGTCCTTTAGTAGTGGTTTCTTTGCAGTAATTCGACCATGAAGTCTCCTCTGAACAGTTGATGTTGAGATGTGTCTGTTACTTGAACTCTGTGAAGCATTTATTTTGGCTGCAATTTCTGAGGCTGGTAACTCTAATTAACTTATCCTGGGTCTTCCATTCCTGTGGCGGTCCTCATAAGAGCCTCTTGACTGGTAGTGTATATATATATAGCCTCCTCATATTGTACAATATGTGTGTCGCTTCATTGGCCTGGGCTTTTGTTTGTTTGAATTAAAAACCAGATAGATTTTTCGGTCCCTGCTAACAAATGTTCCCCATGTGTGGAAATCCTAAAAACGGCTATGATTCTTAATCCGGACCTGCTTGCACTTTCAAATTAGGGTGATATTGGGTAATTTGTCTATTCAAATTAAAACTTCATTCCTGCCTTCAGTTATTAAAAGGAGTCAGTCACCCTCTTGAAAAGAAATGCTTCTGCATGTGTGCTGTGTTGTATGGACTTGAGTTTGTGGTAGGTGTGTGTGTGTGTGTTCCACACTGACCTGTTTTGGATAGAGCGAGGCTGGCAGCCGGTGTGTCCGACTATCTGTGTGATGTTCTTGGCCTCGCACCAAGCGCTCTTGTCAGGGAACAGCGCCAGACGGTTGATGTGAGCGGGCGGTGCTGCTGAACAGAGCGCAAGCAGCGCGCAGCAAATCACAATTCTTTGCCACATGACCGCACCTTAAGGAGGATAAAAAAAAATATATATATATATATTGCTATAATAGGCCTAGCATTCTTTACCTGTTGTTAAGTCTTGAATGTATATTGTTTTAAATAGCAGACTGTTTTTGCACAAGAAACCATATTGTAAAATGTGTGCCATTATATGGGGGATTTCTTTTAGGCATATACATAGCTTTAATATAGCCAGTTGCTGTTTTGCAGCATTCTGTATCCTCTTCTTCAGAAATCCATTTAAACACGGTAATGACCTGCACTGAGCTGTGCTCACATGGCCGAATTAGCTCTGGCTTTGCCGAGTGGAGAAAAACAATATACTTGGTTTGAAGTATCCCAGCAGACAGAGAGAAAGGAAGAGACCGAGAGGGAGAGAGGGGGGATGTGTGCTTGACACATATTAAGAAAATAGTGTAATTCCAGTTGATCTAATCCGTTGTGTAATGCCATTACATGTTAAATATTACTATGGCCAGTGACAGTGCCTTGTGAAAGACTCACATATGGCCTTGTGTCAACTGTTGTCTAGCTCAGTGGTTCTCCAACCTCTCCTCAGGAACCCCCAACCGTCCCAGAGCTAGCACACCTGATTCAACTTGTCAATTAACACAATAATAAAACCTATGACATTTTGACAATATAAAACACGAAAAAAGAACCCTGTATTGTTCTTCAAAATGTTATTTCTAGCACCTTTGAAATTGAGAAAGGTTCTTTATAGAACCATTCTCCATAAAGCTTCTATAAAATGGTTCTATACAGCATCAAAAAAGGGTTTTAACAAGGGGTGTAACTATAGCGAAACCTTTTTTGGTGCTATATAGAACATTAGGAACGGGTTCTTTATAGCACCATAAAGGTTCGAGTTAGAACCATATGAGCATGGTTCTTTAAATAACCTCCAAAAAAGGGTTCTATATAGTATAGCACCCAAGAGGGATCCGCTATAGTTACGAGTCAAATAACCCTTATTTGGCACTATATAGAACCATTTGTTTTTAGTGTGTACCACCTGACTCTAATAAACTATCAACCTCCACAACATCTTCTCTCTGGTTTCTTTTAAAGCTGCGTAGGTCGGTTTCGTCATTTACAAACGTCTACAAAAATACTCTCTTGTTTCTTATAAAGTTAATGGGTCACGTAATTTCGGCTATAAACCTTTCCACAAATACAGTTTTACTTCCATGCACTTTTTTAGTATTGAAGACGCTTTGCTGTGCCTTCGGGCAAATAACATTCCTAAAGAATTCAATATTCCTGTCCAACGAGCAACTGCCCTGCCGCTGTAAAATAGAGAGCGTGAGAGGCGATTGGGGAGGGAGGGTATTACAAGAAGAAGCGCACAAGAAGCTTTGGAAAATGAAAATAAGTGCTAATTCTACAAATGGGCTACTTCATGCATTCAAGTGCTTTTTTTGCACTATTGTAATTATACACATTTTTGCCTTTATAGGTCTGATCACTTGAAGGAGTAAACCTTTTGACTCTATGGGCCTAGTTTATAATCAGGTCATAAGATATGTATAATGCTGAACCACTATTATAAGAACTAGGCTACAGTGTATAGCAAAATAAATGACAAACAGGCGAATTAAATAACGTAAAACTACATTATTTAATGATAATGTCGGACTATGTGTTCAGCAAATAATCATCAGACAGCTCCACAGAACAGAACCCCAGGAAACTATTACGACGCGCTTGTCAAATGGGAAAGGTCAGGTTTCCTGACAAATTACAGCTCTCAATAAACACTGTATCGAAGTTTGCAACGTGACATTTTGTGTTGTAACTCTTTGGCATCTCTCCGAGACAGAGAAAGGGATCAGAACTTTGCGTCTGGATAGGCCGTTAGTTTTAAAAATAGTTAACTTACCGTTGGGAACCACCGAAATGCAGCAATATCCCGCTGAGACCCCTCACTAGAGCTTCAACGCCCGTCTCTCCGAACCCTCCCTCGCCACCCGTCCCGCAGGAGACCGGAGAGACGTTGGAGAGATGCGTGGAGTCTATGCGCTGTAGTTGATACTTGGAAATGGAAAATATAACTGCTTTCAGCAAAGGCAAGGTTCCTAGAAAACAATTACATCATCCGCCAGAGAGAGACGGTCAGATGGAGAGGGGTGAGGAGATAGTGTGCATTAGAAACCCTATCTGTCTCTCAGTCCATCAGCGCACTGGGTCCCTCCCCTCCGTGCTCTATCCCTCCCGTCCCTAGTCCGTTTCCACCTCTTCTCCCCAAAAACGTTTCACCGGTAGGCTGTCATTTCGGTGAAGCTGTAGGCTACTCCAAGTTCTTTCAAACTTTATCTCGCCTTTGCTTTGGTCGCTGGATTTGGGTATAGGCGCGGCTGCGCCTCCAGAAAGGAGTCCCGCTGTGTCTTTGGACGACCGGGAACGGGAGGGGGAAAATGAGTTTGGCAGGTCTGAATTTTAACAGTTGAACAGCGAAGGGAGCCGCTCTCCATTTCAGGTCATAGGCCTACAACACCGCATAGGCATCATGACCTGTTCTGTGCAAAACGCTGGAATTGTCCCAGTTCTTTTTTTCTCGTGCACCTTGTGTCAGCTCTCTTTGCTTTCACTCATAAAGACGGTTTTTGGAATTTGACTAATAAACTTAATGGGAGCAAAATGTTTATAAGCTTATATGTTGATTTAGTTAGACAATAATTGTGAATTATAGCTGCAAGCAGCAATGAACGGGGTTCACAGGATGACAGAAAGTACACAAGATCAGTTGGATAACAAATCAAGCACTCTATCATGCAGGAACTATCTTCCTTTATGTGTAAATCAGTGAAAGCATGACCATGTTTATCTCAATACCAAGGATGACGCATGTGAAGTTTAGTCTAGTGCTGTAGGTAGGTTGGTTGCAGCCGGTAATCATTCTTAAAGTCATTACTTAATGTATTGAGTTTATATACCAATTCTGGGGTCAATTTGACTAATGGTTTATGTTAAGAGTTGTGAAATATTTTCAGCGTTACTTTCAACGCAGCAACTGTTCATTCTCAAATTCATTAGAGACTAATTCAGTGGGGTCCGAAATTATTGACACCCTTGATAAAGATTTGCAATAATGACTGAATTAAATAAATAATTCAAATACTCAGCTATATTGTATGTTTAAAAAATTGGGAAAAATATTTTATACTAATACAATTGCTCAGAGAAAGAGATTTTGTTCAACAAGTAATATATTTTTTTCTCTCTCAAAAGGATAAGGGTAAAAATTGACCCCCCTAAAGATTCTTAGAAATAAAGTAGTCAAATGTTTAGTATTTGGCACCATATTCCTAGCACACAATGACAGTGGTGTAAAGTACTTAAGTAAAAATACTTTAAAGTACTACTTAAATCGTTTTTTTGGGTATCTGTACTTTACTTTACTATTTATATTTTTGACAACTTGTACTTTTACTTCACTACATTCCTAAAGAAAACAATGTACTTTTTACTCCATACATTTTCCCTGACACACAAAAGTACTTGTTACATTTTGAATGCTTAGCAGGATAGGAAAATTGTCAAATTCGCACACTTATCAAGAGAACATCCCTAGTCATCCCTACTGCCTCTGATCTGGCGGACTCACTAAACACAAATGCTTCATTTGTAAAGATGTCTGAGTGTTGGAGTGTGACCCTGGCTATCAGTAAATACAAAAAACAAGAAAATGGTGTTGTGTGGTTTGCTTAATATAAGGAATTTGAAATGATTTATACTTTTACTTTTGATACTTAAGTATATTTAAGCAATTACATTTACTTTTGATACTTAAGTATATTTAAAATCAAATACTTCTAGACTTTTACTCAAGTAGTAATTTATTGGCTGACTTTCACTGTTACTAGAGTCATTTTCTACTAAGGTATCTTTACTTAAACTCAAGTATAACAATTGGTTACTTTTTCCACCACTGTGCAATGGCTACAGCAAGCTTGTGACTACAAACTTGGTTGCATTTGCAGTTTGTTTTGGTTGTGTTTCAGATAATTTTGTACCCAATAGAAATTAATGGAAAATAATGTAGTGCCATTTTGGAGTCACTTTTATTATAAATAATAATAGCATATGTTTCTGAACACTTCTACATTAATGTGGATGATACCATGATTACGGATAATCCTGAATTAATAGTGAATAATGAGTGAGATAGTTACAGAGGGTCAAAGATCAAACCCCCAAGACATGCTAACCTCTCACCATTACCAATAACAGGGGAGGTTAGCATATCTTGGGGGTATGATCTTTGACCCTTCTAACAGCTCCACCTATAGGCCAGTCGGTGCCATTATTTTTGAGATTCTTATCCAGAGCGATTTACAGTTAGTGAGTGCATACATTTTTTTATTTTTTTTTATTTGACCAAGTTACTCATAGCCTCTAGTTTCTGTATGCCAAATTAGAAAAAAAGTTAATCTATGCTTGAGTTATTTGATGATGCCAAGGATTTTTTTCTATCTAAGAATGGCTTTGCTGTGAACCCCTAAATATTGCAAATAGTGACAAATGGATCACTAGTGTCAGTTCACACTTCCTTTTGATTTATTTTATTGCCTATCTGTTTTGCCATGTAGGAATGTGTTTCTATGGACTAATAGCAATAAGGCCAAATTCAATGTTCCATCAAATATTTTTTTATAGATAACTGCAAGGGTCCTAAAATTCAAAATCAAACACCTAAATAATCCATGGTATGACCACCTTAAAACGGTATGGCCATCTGTGTTAGCTTAGTAGATCCCCCTCTGGCTCAGAGTGGAAGTGTAGATATAGTAGGCAGGCCATGCATGCTGTCCTTGAGGGCCTGAGTGTTCAGGTTGGGTTTGTCCCAATCTTTGAATAAGCCACTGATGAATACCTTGACAACAATGAATGGACCTTCCAATAAATCTATTGAGGAAGTAAGTAAGTGCCAGAGACAAATTAAAACCAGCAGACGCTCCTTAGATCATGACTCATGAGCTGTGCACCACTTCAGCAGTCAGTCACTGTCCCAGACTGCCAGTGGTTATTCCACATTGGGATTTGGCATAATGGAGGACTTTTGCCCCTCTATGAACAGAAATGTCTTCAATAGCCACTACAGTGATGGAACTCTGTTTTCCTCACTGCTTGTTCTCTCTCTTGCTCCCTCATGTCAGTTCTGGCTGCAGAACAGACCACATCTGATGGAAGATGTGTTGCAATTATGATGCTGACATGCGTATGATATGCAGGTTAGCGTTTTTTGTTGTGACTCTTGTTCTGGAGGCAGCTCTGCAGAGCGGTCATTAGCTGGCACAGCCACAAAGTCATAAAATCTGATTTTAAACCTAAATCCTAACCTTAATCACACTGCTAACCCTAATCCTAACCTTAAATGAAGACCAAAAACATACTTTTTTGTATTAATTAATTTGTACAATTAGGCAATTTTGACTTCACAGCTGCCCTATCTAAGGGGAAATAGTTCAGTTCTGCCTCCAGGACAAGACTCCTGACAATAAACGTCAACCTGCATATGATATCTGAACGAGCTCTGTGTTTTCTGATTAGTGGCAAGGTTATTAGTGATTAAGATTGTTGTTCTGGAGAATCTGTCAGATAGGCACAGACAGGTACACTCTAATGTCCCAGAAATCTATCCCCTCTTCAAGTGTGCAGCTTGGATTGTATCCATAAGCACCCATACTAGTGTTTTGCACTTCACTTGCAGACAAATACTTTGACAGACAGGGGAAGAGTGAAATAGCGGAATCTGTTTTTGAGAGGATGCCAACATATACTCCTTACTTTGTGACTAATGCATTGCAGAATGCGTGCAGGAGTGTTTACATGTACTGTATGTGTGTGTAAGAGTGGGTCTGTGTCTATCTTTGCTTGTATGAAAGAATGTGTTTGTTTATATACTGAACACAAATATAAATGCAACATGCAACAATTTTACAAAGATTTTACTGAGTTACAGTTCATAGAAGGAAATCAGTCATTTGAAATACATTTGTTAGGCCCTAATCTATGGATATCACAACTGGGAAGGAGTGTAGCCATGGCTGGGCCTGGGAGGGCATAGGCCCAGCCAATCAGAATGAGTTTTTCCCCACAAAAGGACCTTATTACAGACAGAAATATATACACACACACACACACACACACAACTATTGAAGAATGTACTGTATCTATTATGGAGAGAGATACATGTGAATGTAATTTTGAAATGTATTCCATGTTGTAAATAAGTGTTTGAGATTGTGTATGTGGGGCTGGTGATATTTGGATGTGTGCTGTAGGAAATGTGTGTAGTTTAAGCCTATGAGTGAGGATGTGAGTTTGAGTACGTATGTGTATGAACATGTGTTTAAATATGTGCCTTGAAGTGAAAGTGTGAATGTGTGTTCAGACGTGTACGGAGCAGAACTCACCTGTTAGTAATAAGGGCTGAGCTTCAGTCCAGAACTGGCATTCCAGAACATTCCACAAATTCTGCTGCACCAGGGGGCTGGACAAACACACTCCCAAAACACACTCCCAGACGCACAATCAGTACTGCCAATGAACACACAGGCATAGAGGATTGCTCACAAAAGACACACAAGCTAACATGATCCTTCTCCATGCACCACCTACACAATCACTGCCAACACTTAAAACACTTGTTCCAACATACACATACAAACACACACACACACAGGTTATCTGCCATTGCCTGCCTCCCAAACACTCCCAGATTAGGACAGTCTGCATGGTGTAGCTGTACCTGGAACACCGTGTATTGCACCCTTCTTGCCAGCGCAACATGTGTAACATGTCCTACAGTTCCTCCACCTAAACTACTCATCTTAGTGCTTGGTAGCAATATAGTGTTGTATTGGTAGATGGTTGCAATACACAGTAGATATTGTTCATGGTAGTGCTAATTAGTTATAGTGCTGCAAAATGCATGAAGCCCCCCCCACACTTCGCATTTACCACCTGACCCCATCTTCACCTGTAGTATACAGCCCTCTCGCTAAACATTTATCTAACCTCTCTCTGTACATTTAGGAATATCTTTGTCCCACACCCTCTCCATCATCCAGATTTGATCCATGGCTTCATTTTCTTTAGCTCTCATTTTCCCCTGCTTCCCCTCTTTCCTTGAGGGCTGCAGCAGGACAGCAGGACATTAACACTCCTACTCATTCACACACAAAATAAT